GATGTTATACAGAAAAAAGAGGGGGAATTATTCCAAAGCGTTGAATATTTTCAAAGGCAGAAGAGCACATTTATCCAAAACAACAGTGGGAGTCCAATAAGTACAATTCAGATCATGCAAAAAAGCAGCGGTTCCCCTAAGGATTTACCTGTAAATCTTCATTTCAGAGGTCTCCACTCAGTCTGAGCACAGCCCTTCAATCCCAAGGGAGAAGGCAAAGCTCTTACTGAGATGGTTGAAAGAGCTTCTCCCCACCACTTCCACACTGCCCAGTTTTCCTGCTTCAGGAGCAACTCAGTCTGCTCCTCTGCAGCTACAGAACTGCCACAAATCCAAGTCTTGCTATAAAGGAAAATTAAAATTCAGGTTAACTGCATGCTTCTGAGTCTGCTCAAAACTAAAAGAAATGGTTCTTCAGATACATAAGCAACAAGCAGAAAGAAAATACTGTCCCACTGATAAGAGAGGTGAATTTGTCACTAACAATGCTGAAAAGACAGAGGTTCTCAACACTTCCTTCACCTCTGTCTGCACCAGCACTGCTGGGCCCTCAGCCATGGGGACAAAAAATCCAGGCTGATGCATCCACAAGGGCATCACCAGCAGAGATCCAGAAGTCATTATCCCACTCTGCTCAGTGCCACACTGGAGTGCTGTGGTCAGTTTGATTCCTGCTGTGCAGAAAAGATGTGGACAGGATGGAGGAGATCCAGAGAAGAGCCACAGACTGGGAAGACTGTGATGGGGAAAAGGCTGAGAGAACTGGGTTTGTTCAGCCTTGAGAAAAGCAGGCTTAGGGGAGACCTTATCACCATGTTCCACTATTTAAAGAGAAGATGGAGACTCCCTTTTTACCAAGAGTCACACCAAAAAGACAGGGAATATTGGGTACCAGTTACTCCTGGGGAAGTTACAACTACTCACACAAGGAAAATTTTTCACAATGAGAACAATCAGCCATTGGAATAAACTCCCCAGGGAAGTGGTGGATTCCCCAATACCATACACTCCTGAGATTTGGCTGCCAGTGTGCTGGGTCATCTTGTCTAGACTGTGCTTTTACCAAGAAAGGTTGGATTAAATGTTCCTTGAGGTCAGTTCTTTCCAGTCTGTATTCTATGATTCTATAATTTAAATTCCTGGCCAGTTTATGTGTGTGCCCCTGGCTGTGAACTGTGGTGGTTCAGCAGGACCCCGGAGAGAGGAAAATTGAATGTGGCAGGAACATTCTCCAGCTCCATCTCTTACTATGATCCAAATACTTTTTTTATACAAGTTTTGAGAGCTCTACACCAGAAGGAAGTAAATGACATGACCTGTGACACTTACTCTAAATTATGCATGTATAATAGCACCTAAGAATATAATGAAATCTATTATGATGAACACTATATGCTGAAAGGTTTGCAACATAAAGGGCTGTTTTTCATTATCTATTGAGGGTAAATTTAGCCCTAAACAAAATATATAGGAAAACACGGTTGTTAATGTGATGGGAATTATTACTGTGCAATAATTTATGGGTGCTGTTTGTTGATTTTGCCATTGGGAAATTCACTGTCTATATAGGCTTGATTTTAGAAAGGGAAAATCAGGCTAACCTAATAGATGGTTGGAAAATAAAATGCTCAGACAGACGAACAAAAACCCCCAAACACCTCAAAATAAGCCACTTCTTCACACTCTGACCAGCAGGTCGAGGAAGGTAATTCTGCCCCCCTACTCCACTCTTGTGAGATCCCAACTAGAGTACAGCATCCAGCTCTGGGTCCCCACAACACAAGAAAGATGCAGACCTGTTGAAGCGAGTGCAGAGGCAGGTCATAAACATAACTGGAGGGCTGGAGTACCTCTCCTGTGAGGACAGGCTGAGAGTTGCCTTCCAGTACCTCAAAGGGGCCTAAAAGAAGGTGGAGAGGCACTTTTGACCAGGGTATGTAGTGACAGGACAAGGGAGAATGGCTTTAAATTAAAAGAGGGTAGGTTTAGATTGGATACTAGGAAGAAATTCATTACTGTGAGGGTGGTGAGGCACTGGCACAGGTTGCCCAGAGAAGCTGTGGATGCCCCATCCCTGGAAGTGTTCAAGGCCAGGTTGCATGGAACTCTGAGTAACCAGGTCTAGTGGAAGGTGTCCCTGCCCACAATAAGGGGGTTGGAACTAGGTGATCTTTAAGGTCCATTCCAACCCAAACCATTACATGATTCTATGAAACGTGTTTGGATATCTAGAAGTAACAGGAGAGAAAAAAAAAAAAAAAAGAAAAAAGGGACTGTAAGCAGATCAAAAGGACTATTTTAGTTAAAATAGAAAGGAGCATGTACAGTGGAATCAGGCTGTCATAGACATAATATTTTTAAAGAGAAGAAGGAAAGGTGTTTCACGAAGCTAGATCTATGTGTCTTGTTCTAAAGGGCTAATAAGTCTTGAGAAAAATGGATATGAAGATTGTTGGTTTTAAAATCTTTTACTAATCTCTCTCACAGGGAAAAATGGCAGAGATTAAATATCATACTGAGTACCACAAGTGAACATCACAGTGCTCTGCAGGATTAGATTAAGAAGGAAAAGTGCAGAATTCACAATGAGATGAGCAATACTGCCAAAAAAAAGAGAGAAAAAAAAAAGAAAAAGAAAAAAAAAATAGGTGAGCTGTGGTCAGGGAGCAAAAGAAGGAAATGTGACTACATCTATAACCACCGTAGCTGCCCTGAGAAGTTTCTTACATGAAGGTTGATCATGCTTCTGTGAGGAGCAAAATCCAGGGCCTAAGTTGTGCTAACAGCACAGTTCAGACTCAAAAGAAGAAGGAGCTGTCAGATCTCAGGTGGTGCCTGGTCTTCATTTTTCTTTTTAAGGAACAGTCATCTTTTTCTAATGGCTTAATGCCAAAAGTATGCTTGAAGGAGGAATTTCAATGAGGAAAGCTGGCAGTCCTGCCCAGGTTCCATTGATTCAGTGGAATTGGCTGCAGTCCTTGTGGGACAAGTGCTCCCTTAATTTTAGACAAGTCTACTTCAAATATAATTAGACAGGAGGCTTTTATTTTTTTTCTTTTTTGCCCTACATGCTGAGTGAGATGCATTACTTGTAATCATTATATACTAGTTTATTGATCGTGGCTTTTCAGTATTCACTGTAGATAGGCTTGTTTTAACAGAACTGTCAAGAGACATGGCTGGTTAACAAGGAATTACTAATTGAAGGTATAGAAAGAAGCACAGGGATTTTGTCAGGACATCCAGAAATGCAGAGGGTATTTTGACAAAAGGTGAAAGGGCTTTTCTCTTGAATCTGGTATTTTTAAAAAGACGTTCCTAATGTCCATTTCATGACATTTTAGGAGTGGTTCAATACATTGTTTTCATCTCTGCTGCCTATATTTCAATATTTGAAAAGATTGAACAAATGGAAATTATTCTCAGGAATCACCTATGAGAGCCCACACAATGGATTACACTGGCTCATTACCTACAATACAGGTTACCATTAAAATGTATTCCAGCTATTAGGAAAGCTGGAAGTGAGTCAATTATTTGAATAAACAAAGACTTGGCTGCCCCATAGTTTAGTGCATCCCTGAGATGTCTGTAGGCTCCATTCCCACGCCTCCTGTCTCATTCCTAAACTAGCAGAGGCTGTTGTGCAAGGCAGCCCGGCAGCTCCTAATGAACAGGTAGCTTGGAAGCAATTCCTGCACACTGTCCACTTCTGCACATTTGTGGCAGGCACAGGGCATTGACTGCCTCTTGGGTGTATCAGAAGAGGAAGAAGAGGTTTTGCAGCTTAGGGAAAGAGAAAGATCAGCTTATCAGGCCAAAGGAATGTTACTGTGGTCCCTCCAAAGGGGGCCTGTGCTCTGCTTGCTTGGACAAGCTGAAATACAACAGTTTGGTGTGTCAGGCACTAGAAGGTGAGAAGACAGAAGAAGGTGCCAGCTTTTTGCTTTCCCCAAAAGACTGGAGAACGGTTTTTGTGTCTAAAAGATACAAGAAATAGTGATAACTTCAGCAAAAAGAAGTAACTCAGCCTCACAACAGACAATGTAGTTCCCAGCCTTGTTGGAAGCAGCATCCCTACATGCAAATTCTTAGGATAAACAGAAACAATATATGAAAGAAACAAATCCCAAACATCCATTGTGACAAAGTATGCATATTTAAATTCCTTGAGTGAAAGTCTGTATTTTCCAAAACAACTAACGTTTCCTGTTTCTATTAAGGTCTCAGACTGGGCATCCCAAACCATGTAAAGCTGTTGTCCGACAGGTTTATATTTACCCTGGGAGTCAAGGTGAGATTCATAGCACTGCTGCTTATGAAAACTCTTGTTTTAATATACTTAGCTTTTGCAAGTTATGACACAGTAAATACATTTGTGTCACTTAGCAACCTCAGTTGTTTCTAAAGGAATGTTTTTTGTTCTTGGAAATCTATTATAAATGCAGATTACAAAACAATTATTGGGGAATCTAGACTTGTCTTATTTGGATGGTGTTCTGGCCTCTCTCCATTCTGCATTTAAAGTGTGCACAGGAAATTAATTTACTTTGCACAAACATCCTTCATTGACACTACTGTTATGAAGAGAAGCTCTGCATATTTAAAAAATATGACAGAAGTTTCTGTAGAAAATAAAGGATGTGAGAAATGCCTAGAGAAAGAAAGGACTGGAAAGAACCTCCTAGTCACTGGGTTCACCCAGTTCAAAGCTGTCTTACTGTTTTGTAAACAACAGTATAAATACTTTAACACTGTGATGCAACACTACATAGTCTCTATCATGAATTTATCAACCTGATTCATTCCTACACACGCCAAAGTCTGAGATCACAGATCATGCAGCTCCAGCAAAAGGGTTGGAAATGTAAACACCTGCATAAATGAAGTATTATTTTTAATTTTCACATTGACTGGGTTACAGGGTCTCCATAACAGATTAGAACATGTGCATGATCCTGAACACACACATGTAGTCAAAGGACTGAGATTAAACTGGATTGCAGACTTCAAAGGATTTAAGAGTTTTTTCTTTAATAGGTTGAAAGCTCAGAATTCACATCCAGTTGTCTATGTTGTCAGGATCAGTACAAAAGGTAAAATATGTAAATTGACCTTTATATTCTGAAATTAAAATGTATCCTCAGGAAACACTATAAAATTATGTCAAATTTTTATAGATGGACACATATTTAATAGAATTATTACTAGTTTATGAAACTCAAATTTTGTCCTCTGCTAAGAATATCTAAAAGACAAATATTACTAAAAGTATCTTAAAGACTGTTTTCTAAACATTTGAACAAATAAAGTGACAGTGCAAGTGAACAATAATCATAAAAAGGGACCAATCACTGTTCTCAGTTGCTAATAGAATGACTTAGACGACAAGATTCCATGAGAATTTTGGCAATTCCAGAAGAGAAGCAGACCATACACAGAAATGCATCTGAAAAAGAATAGTAGCAACAGTCATTATCAAATTTCTGCTCAGAAAAATATTGTCAGAGGTCAGAAAAAAATTGTCAACAGTTTTGCAACTCCTTTTAAACTTTTATTTTTAGAAGAACCTCCCCCTATCCTTAGTGTTCTATGATTTGGGGTTTTGGGGTTTTTTTCATTGCAATTACCGTGGTAAACTGCTAAAGTAAAAGTGGTGCTGCAGAGCTCATCCCCAGTGGTAGAAGACCAAATATGATGACCAGGCTGCAATTCTCCTAATTTTAAAGAGAATACAGTGAGTAAGCTACATCTTAGGACTTGGCCAAATTACCTGATAGTTACAACTGTTGAGGCCTCAGCTTCTTTGAGGCTGACCTAGCAGCCAACCCTGTCACTTACACTTACAAACTCTGCATCAGGACATAGGTGTATGACAGCCCCTTTGTTGCAAAACCCACTGTTGAAGTTGTTCTCATTTCTATGGAGAGGCACTAGCAAACAGCTACCTGTTCATGACCTGCTGTAATATTTCTGCCAGGAACATCCAGTAATGGCTGCAGACACTTCAGATCTGCCCCTAGCATGGATTGGGGTTTAATCCCAGAAAGGTCTCTGGGTGCTGACAGACTGAGATCCATTCCACAGATACGATTATGATGTAAATTCATATTGAGCCCTCTTCGGTACAGTTTTCCCACATAAACAAATCTTTGAGGGACAACCGCAGATATAGGATATACAGTCTTCTCCAGCATTTTAGCTTTTCTCTCATAATCCACTGAAAAGAGCAGATAGTACCTAAGCAATGGCTGAGGCTCCCAATTCCTCGAGGAGGACATAATCTGGGACACCCTTCTCCTGAAGGTCCACAAATCTCATTCAGCTGGTAAATCTATTAATCCTGATCAGTAGCATTCAGTGTAAACATTTGCAGTATGTTTAGTCCTAAAACCCTCAGCAAATACCAGTCCATTGTGAACCAGTCATCACTGAAATTTTGCATTTGAAAAGATCTGAGGACATCAGGATTCTGCTAATGACTGTGCTCTGAGCTCCCTATCTGTGGCACTGATCTGCATGATCCTTCAAGCTTTTCCCAGCATTGCAGTTGGTTAGGGATGCAGTGAAGCACGATTTGTGATTATCATTCCCGGGCTCATGAAAGCCCCAGGTGTAGATGTAATCACAAGCAGCACTGAGCTTTTGCTGGTAGAGCTTATTTTGCTTTTGTGGGAGAAGAAAAGACTGGAATAAACTGTACTGGTTTATTGCAGTTTTGCTTGTATAGAACAGCAGATTACCTACTCCAAAGTGATCTGAATATAGATCTCCCTTGAAGTAGATCCATCCACTGCATCTATGTAGGCCTGCTTCTATTGCCTTTGAATAGATATCGTATAAATAAGGAATAAGGGTGAAAGTGTTTTCTTAAAAATATTTGGGAGCAGGCAAGGGGCAACAAAATCTCACTTTTTCATCCTCTGTAGAAAAATGTGATCTGAGTTTTAATTGACAAGTTAAAAAGGTGCTGAAAACAAAAAAGTATTGGTACGTTAAGTATGCACATGAATAAATAATATGCAATTAGGTAGCATGATTTATGCCCAGTTCATATAAATCCAGACAGGGGATGTAGTAATGGGTTTGGACACCTAGGCTGGTGTGCACACTAGTACCATGTGTATACAGCAGGCATGTTCAGAAACACGTGCACTTATGCACAGGCTCTCTTGCTCTGTACAGCAAGTGGAAGTAGCTCAGGAGAACATGAGGACAAACCGAAGGACTGAAGGACATGCCCTCTCCTTTACCAATCGCTTACTGATTAATCAAGGGTACAGTGGTGGGAGCAGTTATGTGTATGAGCAACTTACACTTTACAAGCTGTTCCCAGCGGAGCCCTGTCACGTGAAATAAGCGTGTTCTGGACTATGGCCCCAGAGTACCAACACCCAGAAAACCTTATTTAAGGCTCACCATAGAAATTTCAGCACCTACTTGAATGGTGAAGTGACAGAAACAAGGGAAGGAATGGGACTGAGCCATGAAGTGACAGGGCAGAGCCTTGATGCAGGAGGTGAAATAAACCGCAGGCTGAGAGAAATCCCGACAGAGCACCTGCACTGAGTTACTTCACGTCTGCTAATTCTAGTGATGCAAAATGAGGCTCCTAAGGCATTTCCATGTCAAGGAATTAAACCCCAAACTAATGCGCTGCCGGGTGCGGGCGCAGCAAAGCCGACCGCCGAGTGCGAACCGGGCGGTCGGAGCCGGGCGCTGCGGTACGAACGCGCCGCGATCCCAGCACGGAGCCCTGCGGGAGACGGCGCTGGCTGACGGGGATCGCAACGCAATCGCAATCCCGGAGAGGCCGGTGCGGGCCGGGCGCTCCGCCGGGAAGCGCCAGCTCCCGCTCCCGGGTGCCCGGTGCTGCGGGAGAGCCGCACGCGCGCAACCGCCGGGCGCTCTCGGGCTCCGGCGCGCGCCCGCACCGGCGCCCCGCGGGCCGTTAACGGCAGGGCGGGAGCGGCACCGGCCGGGCGGTCACCGGGCGGTCACCGAGCGGTCACCGGGCGGTCACGGGGCGGCCACCGGCCGCCGCTCGCCCTCCCTGCTGTCCCCGTGCCCCCTCCAAGCGATCGTCCCGAGGCGACGGGGCGGTGCGGGACCCTCCGCCGTGCCGCGCCGCCCGCCCCGCCCCCTCCTGCCAATCACCTCGGCCCCGCCCCCGAGACCCGAGGTGCGGGGTTTGAAAGCGGGCCGGTCCACGCGGCGCGCAGACGGGGGGGAAAGGGGACAGAACAGGGAGCGTCGGGCTCGGTGGTCGCGGGGCGGTCTCGCCCGGCCGGCGTCGCCCAGCGGCGGAAGCCGCCCCCGCGCTGTTATCCGAGCCCTCCTCGCGCGGAGCGCCGGCCCCGAGAGCGGCCGGCGAGCGGTTGGTCCGGAGAGCCGTCCCCCTCCCCCCCCCGGCCGGCGCAGTGGGAGGCGCCCGGGCGCGCGCGTCACCCATTGTTTACAAACCAACGCCAGCGGGCCGAGCTCCAGCCGCGACCGCAGCGCCGGAGCCGCGTGTGCTCGCGCGCGCGCGGGGCGGCGGGCGGGCGGCGGCCCCGGTCCCGCTGCGGCGGCTGCGGCACGGCGGGGACCCGGCAGAGATGCCGTGCCGCCCGGGCGAGCGCTTCCTGCTGCTGGAGCGCCCGGTCGCCGTGGGACAGGCGAGCTCCAAGGAGGTGGACGCGCTAGTGGCCAAGCTGGGCGAGGTGCTGCAGCTGAGCGCCCAGCGGGCGCCGCCGCCGCCGGCCCGCGCCCCCAAGCACCTGGGGCCGGGCAGCGCCCGCGACCGCGCCGCCCCCTACTCACCGCGGTGCTGCAGCGGCGGCGCGGCCGGGGCCGGGCTGCTGGCGCCCCGGGGACCGGCGCCGTCGCAAGCTCACTCGCAACACGTTGAGGCTCCGCGGCCGGACCGGAGCGGCCAGCAGCGGGTGACCAAGCAGCTGTGCGGACGGGGCTGGCTGCGGAGCGCCGCCCGCCGGAGGAAGCAGCCTCCACCGGGGCCGGGCGACGGGCCGGCGGAGGAGGAGGACCCGCACCGGCTCCTGCAGCAGCTCATCCTTTCCGGCAACCTCATCAAAGAAGCCGTCCGGCGGCTGCAGCTGGCGGCGGCGGCGGCGGCAGCAGCGGCATCCGCGGCCTCCAGCGGCAGCGCCTCGGCGGGGAGCGGCGGCGCGGACGGCGAGGCGGCGGCGGTGCAGCCCCTGCAGTAGCCGGCGGGGACGAGCGGCGGCGGTGACCGGGGCGAAGGAGCGCGGCCGCTGGCGGCGGCGGAGCCCCCGCCGGGCGTGCTGCGGGAGCGCGGTGCGGGCTCCGCCACGATGTAAGTGTGTCCCGGCGGCGGGGCCCCCCGGGCCGGGGCCGGTTCCGGCGGGAAAGGTGCCCGAACCCCCCCGCCCCAAGGTCACCCGCGGCGCGGACCCCGTGCAGCCGCAGCCGGCGAGGCCGCGCTCGCCGCCCGCCCCGGGCTGTTGTTGTCCCCCCTCCCTGCTCTGCCTTCCCCGGGAGCTCCTCCTTCTCCTCCCCCCGCCGGGGCAGCCCGGCCGGGGCCGCGGGCCCCCCCGCCGCCGGTCCCCCGCTGCCGCCGAGCTCCTCCGTCTCCCAGGAGCCATTTGCAATAATCCTCGCTGACCCCGGCGGGAGGTGTTTCCTTTCCCCTCCCGGACTGGTTTGGTTTTTCGTTGGGGGTTTATTTGTTGTTATTTTAACGTTTATTGTTATTATTTCTCGTTGTGACTGTATGAAACAGTTTTAAAAAATGTGAATATCAAAGCTGGAAGGCAGCTGGACTTACAACAAATGAGTGAATGGAGCCTGAGATGCATTGTTCACATAAGGTAGCCGAAACAAGTTTTTTCTACCAAAAAGAAAAACCCTGAATCCACCCTTCCCCGACAAACTCAATGGCTCAAGTACAAGATGCAGCTGTTGATTTTAAATATATGCACTTCGTACCGGAGCGTTTGAAATGTGTTCCTGATTTACAGGACTTACTGTCTTAATTAACCTGTCTGTATTGAATAAACGTGGTCTTGTTTTTATTTTTCGGTCTGTGTCTCATTGTTAAGAGGAAATGAATTCTGGTTCATGAGAACAAAACTGTGTAGGCACGTTTCCCCTTGATCTTCTTTCAGTTGTAAGATCTCCATTTTGCGAGGAAAAAAAAAAATCCCCACAACAATCCGCATAGTCTGATGCAGTGGGACACCGGTTATTAATGCACGGAGATGCAACTGAGCCCCTTTGTTTGCCAGCAGCGTTCATTTGTAAGCTGTGAGACGCCCCTTCGAGCAGCCGAGAATGTGGCTGTTGGAATTTACAAGTCAAATCATACTGAAACAAAAATAAGGTATTTTGGACTGGGGTAGGAACATGGCTTGTTTGGTCACTTGTTTGGGTTGTTTTGATTTTTTTTTTTTTTTCTTTATCTGAGGATAGAGGGTGAAAAAAGACTCTAGGAAAGAGGTCTAGACAGTAATAAAAAAAATTAAAATATGTAAACCAGAATTTGATAATTCGATGGTGATCATTAAGTTCCAATACCTATTTTGAATATCTTCCTTTGTAAAATCCTATGTTGGGTTTTTAGGAGTCATTGAGCTTCAAGATCAGAACTGAACACATCAGACAGACTGGAGCTTAACAATCTCCCAACCCCCACTCAATTTGAGGTAAAAGCTTCTCCTTTGAAGAAGGTAGCAATCCCACATGAAAGAAAATGGAAGATGTTTGCCTTTGTCCAAGAGAGCAATTTGAGCAGCTACGTTTACTTGTGTGATTAGTTCTTTCATGAATACATTAAATCCACAAAATATTTTAGATTTCTTTCTCTGCCACAGCTGCTACTAGAAACTGATGCTGAAGGTTTTTATGATGTCTCACTGAATTCCTCCTGCATTAGGACCAGTATGTGATGTTATTATTAGCTTTTTATCTTGACTAATTTATAAGTTGAATGCAATTTTTCCATATCAAAGCATGTAAAATGCAAAGAAAGAAGTTCAATGCATTTTAGAACCTCCTTAATTACTAACATCTGAAGTCCTTTTTCTCATAACTTGGGCTGCTTTCGTGGCATTTTGCACAACTTGGAAAAGATTTGGATCTGCCATTAGTTCTTGCTCTCTACTACAATGATGTACTGTGTAGGTTATCCTTCAAATGAATTTTTATTTGCAATTTTCCTGTTTTTTTCTTTCTTTCTCCAGGAAAAAATAGTTCAATAGTAGATACAAAGAATATAACCACTAGCCACAAATGAAGAACTAGTTACTCCTGTATTTGTCCTTTAGGTGCTCAGGGAGATAGGTATTTGCTGTGCAGATGCTGAATTTGAACCCTGGCATAAGTAGTTTAATTACTAAAAAAGCTGGAGGAAACAAGCTAAAAGCTGGGCATAGCTGGCGGAGTCTGAATAGTTAACTAAGGTTAAAAGTATATGGGTGGGGGTCAGCTGGAATTCTGAAAGCTGGCGAGTTTGACTTGAACTTTTTGCCACTGATAATTATGCATCGATTTTACATCTCCTTTCCCTCCCCCCTCCTCACCAAACCCTAGCCCCTGTATACTAATGAGAACAGCTAACTTTACAAGTGTTCTTTGTAGTCATTGAAAGCCTCGAGACATTCCTTTTAAGGATTTTACTAGAATAACACTTTTCAATAAAGTGGCAGTTGAAGTGAGGCGTAGAAAAGATGCTAATAAATTTCACTGTGACTAGCTGGTTTTTAAGCTTCCTAAATTGCTTCTAAAATAGCTTTTGCTTTCTCCTTTGTGCAAGGCTGGGTTATAGTAAGCTAAGCGTTATGCAGACTGTGTGATGATTCAGTAAAAGGGATTTTGGCCCTTGTTTCAGATAACTTGCATAACTCACTGACACGTCTTCGTCAATTACATCTTCCATATAAGTCTTTGTCTTCAAAATGTCACTCAGAACGTGTCGCTCCTTCATAAGGATCAAACTTGGCTCATTTTGGTTTTGGAAGACACATTTTAAAAGATGTTGGGCCAATTGAAGTATTGCCAGAAGGTTTCCGTTGATTAGTTGCAAATTCTCCTTTTCTTTGCCTTGTGCTACACTATGCAAGCATACAAACTGTGATATAAAAGTCATCATCTGCTTTGTTTCCCAAACAAGATAAAAAGTGTTGACCTGGGAAATAATAATTTTTCTAAGTTTTATGTATCTGTGTTTCAGAGGTGAGGTTTCTTTAGTATTTTGTCTGTGCCAGTCCTCAAATACCAATTGTTGGTTTCTAGAGAAGCAAAATGGAAATACATATGGCCTTCACAGTATGCTTAAGCTTTCTTCATTCATGAGTGAAAATACAAGTTTACTTACAGATTTAAATTTGGGATAAAATCATGTTTTCTTGATAGGCATTTAGCTAGGTTTTAGCTCTTTTTTTTCCCCCCATACTGTGAAGAAGAAAAATTGTTCAAAACACACAGATTTTACAGTGGATGACATGAGCTGTATAACTGAAAGTAAATCATTTAGATTTTTGTAATAAGTAACATTTCAATGCACAAGGGAAGAAATCTAATTTCATTAATGTTATATAATGACTATGTTTTGAAGTTCAACTTGATTTTAAATAATATTGTAAACAAATGCACTGAAGGCTCACAACCTCATCTTTCAATGTGCCTCTGTAGTGTTGGACTAGCATGGCACTGGGCTACCACAGATTTTTCATTAGTAGTCTACATTGCTGCTTAACTCCTCCTGAATTTTCTCTATATGACAACTGTATTCCTGACTGCCCAAAACTCAGCTTTGCATCCTAGTTGTATCTTGTTCTTTGTAGTCCCATGTTCCCTGAGCTCTTAAAAGTAACTCAATTTAGCCAGAAGTCTGGCAGGTATAATGATTTTTGTCTGCTATTTCCCTCGTGTGACCCATCTCCCTTGTAGCTCACTACTGTGTATTGTACCAGCACTTAGAATCTACTGTAAAATTATGTTGGCATGGTACTTGGTATGATAAACATGGTGGGAAAGTAGGGACTTCACCCTAAGTCCTTAAAATGAGGTTGAAAAGCCTTTCAAGCAAATAGTAAGCACATCTCATGGAAGGCATAAGGGAGAAGAGGTATGTATGCTGGTTAATGCACAATTTAGTTCTGGTCAGATGAAGCCAGTCCCAGTGTTGGTGAATTCTCCTCCATTTCCATATAAAAAAAGATTTTTCATTCCCTCCTAGTCCCTGGCCCCAAAATTTTCATCTCTTCATCCTGCATTCCCTGCCTTAGCCAGGCAGCTGGCTAATTTTTTTCAGCTTGTGGTTGAAGAATTTCACCTTTACATCTTTTGTCCATGTCATATTACTCTTCCTAATATTAAGTAGCTTTATTCTCTTCAGTTACTTTTTGGTGGATGCTTTTGATGTGCTTTTTCACTTGACTTTCAAATATTGTAGCTCAGTCACTTGGTGGCCATGATCTGGTTAACTCCTTACAAACCTTGCAGTGTGAGTTGGAGGGCAAGTTACAAGTGTCCTTCATCTTCAGTTTGTACAGCATAGGGCAGAAATCAGAGAAATCCTAGCTGCAGTGAAATGAATAGATGAAGTTAACAGAAAAATTGTTTTCAACTTCTATTGAATTTCCTCCTGGTTTGGTTTTTTTTTTTGTTATTGTTGTTTGGTTTGGTTTCTTGTTACTGGTAATTTTTTTTGGAAGTAGCTGGGAAATACCACTTAAAGTGATACAATGACTACATAAATGCCTTTGGGGGGACACAAAAATTACATCAGCAAACTCATTTCCTGAGTCAATGAGTTTGGTTCACTTTTTCTCTTCCAAAAATTATGTTTTAGCTGTGTGACTAACCTCAGTCACCTTTGTCAAAGCTGCAGAACTGCCATTATGCAATTTCCTTGGCAAAAGGCAGCTGCTGGGAAAGAATTGGTGCCCATAGAGAGAGGAAGGCTGCAGTGTGCCCAAGCCACATTAGTAAACACTAAACTCCACAGCAGAGGAAGCTACAGGAAATCAGGCACCATAAATTCAGAGGCGTGCAGCATTAGCTGTTCCTTATGCAATATCCTGTATTTAAATTGTATTATTTTTGCTCCCCATTATATAATATAGTGGTGTCTGGTGGAGTAATACAGCCAGCTAAGGGTGCTCTTCATCACTGCAGGCATCAGGTAGGACATGAGCAATCAAAAGAAATTGTAAAAAACACCTTGTCTCTCTGTCGTGTCCTC